GTGGCTGGCGCCTTAGCCGGTTGAGCTATAGGCGCCGAGCCTTAAATAAGTTATTTTTATCATATTTGTTTAGAAAACCAGAATATGTTTATGTTAGGGTGATATTTAGATTTTGATTTGTTTATTTTCCCCAGTTATATATTCAGCTTGTAAAATTTCTTGTTTTCAGGTCACATTGGCTGCTTCTTATTTAATTTTCACTTTACTTTGTATGTCAGTTTAGGTTAGGTCTTATTTCTACTTTATAATGAGAAAAATAGACCCTCCGTCTGTGTTTTCCCAAAGATTACCATAGAACATTGGGTCAGTATCTAGAACCTGACTCTGATTTTTGTCCAGTGCTCTTTGGGTAGGACCTAGGCTTTGAGCCTGATCTAGCTTTCTAAACTTAATTGATTTGGTGACTGTTCAAAATCTAAATGTCTAATGACTACTTTTATCCCCACAATTAGGCTCAACAAATGTGATTAGATGCCCCTCTCACCTATTACAGGACCAAATGTCTGGTAGATGATCAGGAAATATATGTTGAAAGGGTGCATTGGTAGGACTTAGACAGGCAGATCTAGAGAGAACATAGTTGTGGAAGAATGAACTGCTTATGCCATAAAGGGAGAAGAATGATGGATTTGCTCTGTAGTTAATAAATGTCTTCCCCCCCTCAAATAAATACATCTTGTCCCCAAACTGTCATTTTAGAGAAAGTGTTTTATGATGCAAAACAGTGGGGTGAAGAAGTGTCTTTTTGGCAGTTGAGCATGATTCATATTTAAGAACTTCGTTGAGAACAATGTTTTGAGTATTTCCTGAGAGACTTCTTTCCTGAAAGGAAACAGTTGATGGAAATGGAATTTTACTGCTGTCAGGAAAACTGTGATAAGATCAAATCTCATATAACCACTTCTACCAGAATAGAAATTTCCATAGAGCAGAGAGATTTTAAAGTCCCAGATAATGGCTCATATGTGTTTAGTATTCGGTGTAGTTGAACTGTAATTTTGTTGTGGAATTTGACCAATTTTGACAATCTAGTTTGTAACATGTGAATTAGTGGAGGCCCATTTATCTTGACGTTTGCTTACTCTGCCAGATGTTGGTCATATTTTTGATAGAAATAGGGAGCTGGCTGGGATCCCAAATCTCAGCATCATCACCAGCTGCCTACCACTGCTACATGTTGCCAGAGGAGAGAAACATGCTGAGGATAAGGCCTGAAAAAATAATCATTCTGTTTGCAAGTAAAGATTTTGCCCCCCCTTCCTATTAAACGTTCTACCTTGGTGGCTTAGGTTGGAACAAGTATGAAGTAGGTGCTCCTTTAGCCTGGGCTCAAGTCTGTCCTGTGCAGTCTCCCTCTGTGTTGTTTCCCCACTTGAAGGCATGCAAGTTTCCTCATTTGTAATGTAGGGACAAATAATAACACCTACCTCGTAGGTTTGCTGTGAAGATTCAATCAGATAATGCAAGCAGAGGGTTTAGACTGTGCCTCGCATTTTAGTTCTCAAAGAATGGTACCTAGATTTTATTATTATGCAATAGAAGCAGAGACCTGGGAGTAAAATCTTAATATTTTTAGTTGAGCACTATCAATGTGAGTTGTTCATGAATTTTTTGAATGTCTCTTCAGTAATAATGCTGCATGAGAGTCTAAGGACCTGGGTTGCTATGGCCAGTATTGTAATCTAACACACACAATTGCTGATAATCCATCTCTTTTCTCAAGTGAAGACAATTCATTTTGACTTATAGAAAAACAAAATTGCTTGCTTCTCCACTGTGCTCTAACCTGGTATGGAATACCTTTTCTTTTCTATCTCATTGACCTATCGCTCTCACCTTCCAATTTCTATTATAATTCCCC